GACACAACCCTCACCATTTACCTGGGCTTGGGACCAGCACAAGAGATACACTGGCTTGTGCTCCCTAGTTCCCTATGAACTTATAAACTTACATAAAGTATTTGTTCTTTTACGCAGTTTTACACTGAAGTTAAACAGACTGTCATTTTTTTTTATTGAAACATTTTGCACTAATTGTTGTGTTTTGTCCAAACAGGTTATAATGTGGAGTGTGAGAAGAGCACACCAGTGAATTATTTCTGGTACCGTGACACGCTGAACATTACCCCAGACATCGAGGTTAGCGGTTCTTTGCAGTGGTGGATGGTTGTCTGTCTGGCCACTGCCTGGTGCGTAGTTTACATCTGCTTCATCAAAGGCATTGAGTCCATGGGAAAGGTCAGTGATCACAAGTATATATAGAACAAAAAGTAACAAAATTTGTGTGGTCAAGTAATTTTTTGTTGTAACAATGCTTCTTGCCATTAAATCTATTACCAATGGAAATCCTGTTTAGTTTCTGTAAATGGTATCACATTTATTAGGAAAAATGCATTTATGGTTGGACAGCTGAGTATGTGGGTTGTATCAATGAAAACCTTACCAATCCAAATTTGGCGCTGCAAGCAGGGTCATCTGATGATGTGGCGTGGACCTAGAGAAAAGTCAAGTGGGAAACACCCTGAAATGAACTTTGTCATAACCTTCTAACTCCTGTGAGAACAAGGCATTCAGATCAGTTCAAATCAAAAATACTTTATTTATCCCAAAGGGAAATTACCTGTATAAATAAAGGTTGATTGATTAAATGTAACTCATCATCCTGGCTGCATTAAAGACATTCTGACACACCAACATCTATTGCTCCTTGTTAATATGATCTGAAAAGTGATGGGCTTTCTGAAATATTGGTGGAATTTAGAACTTAATCAAAAAAATGTATTTTGTGGTGGTTTATTATATGATATAGAAGGTTGCAAGTTCGAGTACAAAGATTTGTAGACGTTGTGGCAGAAGTGAAATGAAAAATGGTGCCTGCATGTGGGCTTGTGATGCGTGCATGTATGGACTCATGAGCCAATCAGCTTCCAGGAATCGCTCATGATCAGAGTGTGAATGAACCCCAAACAAGATAACCCTCAGCTAAAGAGAGATACTATTACCCATGCTTGTTCAATTCTCTAATTCAATACTGTAGTGTCCAATTCTGGTCCTCTAGGACCACTATCCAGTACATTATTTTTTCTAGGCTATTGGACACCTGATTTAAATGAATGAATCAAGATTTTTGCAGAACCTCAAGACCTGCTGAAAATTAGGAAAACAACTAAAGCATGCAGATCCCTCGAGAATCAGGACTGGGAACAACCGCCCTAGTTTTACAGTCAAAACATACAGTATTTCTGAAGTCGTAGTCAAAATAAAATATCCTTCTTTGAAAATACTATAGTTGCGATTTGATACAGTTTGCCTAGTTTGACGTATTTCTTAATTTGTATCTTAGATTTTATTACTGTTTTTCTTTACAATTTATACTTTTGTTGGATGTAACTGGGACCCTGTGTACACAATTTCGTTCCACCACATGTACCACATGCGGTGCGAATGACAAATAAAGAAACTTTGACTTTGATCTCACAGCCACAAAACCAAGTTGTAGCAGTGGAGTGAGCCTTGGTACCATTTCCAAATTTAAGGCCAAATTTCATACAGAAAGGGATGTTACAAATAGCCTAAAGGCCATGACGAGAGCATTCCACGAGATGACATTCAGCAACCAATGGCAATCTGGGACCAAACTCCAAGAGTTTGTTCACCCCCACAGAGAAGGGTTTAGCAGAGACTACCTCCAGAATTGGAGTGGAGAGTATGGATTGACATGTCTGCATTCTTGACCTTAATCCCATTGAACATTTGTGGGATCAATTTGGACATGCAGTTCAATCAAGAGCGATCAACCCAATACTGGCTGACAACTGGGATGCCATCCCACAGCAGTGTGTGACCAAGCTGGTGGTCAGCATGAGGAAGAGAAGGTGCAAGGCTGTTGTAGATGTGTATGGTTCTTCCACATGCTAATGAGGCCCTTGTCAGTTGAAGGAATAAATTGTCAAATAGCCAGAATGTTTTTTTCAGACTTCAAATATCAAATTCAATAAACCACATCAAACAAAAGTCAATAACAAAATAAGCTGTTTAGTATTGGCAGATATTTTTTTGGAAGTTTTTTTTATAAGCACAACCCACATCCTCAACTCTGCTGCTAACCCCACTAAAGCATTTTCCTAACAAATGTGGCACCACTGAAAGAGAAATAAATGGTATTCTAACTGTATAACATTTATTATGAAGTTTTGTTACCACCATTAAATATTCAACCAAACACAAACATCTTTATTTTGATGTGAACTTTATACAACTCTTTAAAAATTTGAACTAAAATCCCTTTTTTGTATTCATGTTTTTTAGGCTGTTTATGTCACAGCCACTTTCCCTTACTTGGTGCTGACCATCTTCCTGATCCGTGCCCTCACCCTGCCTGGAGCCACTGATGGTTTACTTTACCTTTTCACTCCGGATGTGAGTTCTTGTTTTTGTTACTCCGGTATGTGATCCAAGGTTTTGTTTTATTTCAGATGCTTACTATGTATGTTATTCTCCTTGTTGCAGTGGGAAATCCTAAAGAACCCACAGGTGTGGCTGGACGCGGCCACCCAGATTTTCTTTTCTCTTTCTGTGGCATTTGGAGGCCTCATGGCTTTCTCCAGCTATAATGAAGAAAGGTAGGACTTGGAACTCCTGGCAGACTTAGAGGGCTGATAAAAATTAATAATTTTTCCTCCGTTCTCTTTCAGAAATGACTGTGAGAGGGATGCAGTTCTTGTAGGAGTAATAAACAGTGCCACGTCTCTTTACGCATCCATCCCCATTTTTTCCATACTGGGATTTAAAGCCACCAATGGCTTTAACGCTTGCCGAAAAGAGTACGTATGCAAATCTACTTGTGGCGGTTTAAAACTTCTTTATGCACAAATTTCCAATTATGGAAAGTA